ACCCACACCCACACCCACACCCACACCCCACACCCACACCCACACCCTTATCGTGGTAATAAACCAGATCAAATGAATAATAAAGGTCAAAAACAAAAAACAAAAAAATCACCTGAAAAAGCTCATCTTGACACACTCCGTAGAAGAGCACGGCGTCAAGAACAACGAGCAGCTTTACTTGAAAAAAGTAATGAATTAGGTTGTTTCAACGGTAATAATCGTTTTAGTCTTCTATCTGAAATAGATAATGACAACAACAATGATGAATATACAACCGATAATTCAAAGGCTGATAATCAAACTGTAGCCATGAAAAATTATAAGAGGATTAAACAAAAAAACTTGTCTAGAAAACAAAAAAGACAAACTAGAACAACAACAGAAGTTCCGATGATTAATGAACATGTTGTTAATAATAATATAAAGACGCGAGGAAATAACCAGCGTCAAATAAATTTTTCTGATTCTAAAAAAGAAGAAGAAGAGAATGATAATGAAAAATCACCTTCTTTAAATAAAGATAAACGAAAATGTAAAAGTTATTTACAAGCTTTTAAAATTCTCGCTTATCTAAAAGATCGTGTGAATAAGGATAATAAAATAAAACTCGACATTAAGGATGTTTTCAATGAAGTATGTGAATATGCAAAAAATACCATTGAAACATATGATAGTTGGGTACATAATCATTACGAAGCCCAAGTCTGGCAACATATCTATGTTTTAGGTAAAGAAAAAGATCATTGGGCTAAAGAAATAGTAAATATAACACATACACGGGAGGCTAAGATAAATGTGTCAATATGTGAGAAAAAATTAGCACAATTGACATCGACATGTTTCGATGCTAATACCCAGGTCGAACTAGCTATGTCGGATCCTGTCGGATAGGTTTCAAATCCGTTGAGATACGGCTAATCGGATTCGGTCGGTTACTTTTTGTCGGATTCCGATGCTATCCACTGTTTTCCTCTGATATCCACCGGTCGGATTCATCGAGTTCCGACTAGATTCATATATTCGGAACTGGTCAGATCCGATCTCAAGATCTGTTCGCTTCCGATGGGATTCCGAGGAATCTGATGTCAAGAAATCGCCGGATTTTGCGGTTTCAAGTGACACCGGATTCCATGATAAAACCGATCAATCACTGGTATCGGAACTTGTCGGATTATATAAGAATGCAGAATACCCAGGCCGATCTCACACCATCGGATCCGATGGAAATTAGTCGGAAGTTGTCGGATGCTGGAAAGTGTCGGATTTTCAGAGTTCCGACAAGATCCCGGCCACTTCCGACACTTTCCAACATCCGACAACTTCCTGTCGGAATCCGATACCAAGGATTCTGACGAATTGCCATCGGATTCGATAAAACTCGATGATTTTTTCGATCGGATCCGACGCGATCCGACTGTCGGATTGCTCGTTCTGGGTATCCAGTATTATTTTCCACGTAGTCGGATTCATGAATTAGAATATATTCTGACAGATCAATCAGCTAATCATCTAATAAGATAGTTTTCTTTTTACAAATTTCCAACAACAAAATCAAGAATCTGGAAATCCGATTTCGCCCAGATTTCATTCACCGTTTTGTTCTGCCGATATCGATCTATATAATGAAGTCGCTACTTTAATATTTCGAATGAATTTCCAAAGTGTTGCTAAGATTAATTTTACTTCAAATGATTTGTTTTCCTTATACAATTATGTTTTCCATGCAATTGGATTCATGAATTAGAATATATTCTGACAGATCAATGAACTAATTTATTTATTTATTAGATATTCCTATTTTTACAAAATTCCAACAGCAAAATCAAAAATCTGGAAATCCGATTTTGTCCAGATTTCATTCACC